GGGTCCAACCCGTTACTAGCATGGGGTACCTAATAAAGTGGTCGGTGAGTGTATATTCTAATGTTATAATATATGGAAGGATGATTCCCATCAGCTCTAAGCTGTAACTGTCAGGGTTCGGTGTTTCTGTGCTCTGCTTACTCCATTCCACAGGTGGTCGTTGCTGACAGGTGGGCCTTGACTGCTCGGCTGAGCTTAAGAGGAGTGTTCAGTCTGCTGAAGGACACCACAGTGTTAAACTGTTGTGGTACGCCTAGGCCTCTGTCCAGTCGACAGATCTCTGAAACATGATGTTTTGGATTCCTGATTCTAACCTATCTCCTGTCTCTCTCAGCTCGTTGAGCTCTGGATTGCTCACCCGCCTGTCTCCGTGCTGTTAGGACTGGCCTCTGAATCCCTGCTGCTGAGATTCTGCTCTGGCGTTCCTCTCAAGCCCCCTCGGTACTACTGAGTCGGACAAGAGACCCTTCCCTGGATTCAAACTGGTTCCTTCAGCTGCTCCTCAAACCTGCCTCCGCTGCAGTGCTGCTCGGGCCCCCGCCTAAGTACCACCTGTCACTCAGCCTCCTCTTCCATCGGAAAGCTGAGAGTTACAGAACCCATTCCTCCATTCACCCTCCCTGGATAGGTTATCCGTACCTCTTTCTTCCCGCAGAACTCTGATGTTCCTCGTCTGTGGCTCCTGTCATGAACTGACCTTATTTCTGTGTAGTCAAATAAACATCTTAAACAGCTCCTGTTGTCCCCTTCAACCATGACATTAACTAGTGGCAAATCTATTAAGATAATTAATGGCATGTAAATACACTGTAAAATGTAAAAACATGAACATGAAGTAAAACACATTGTGAAGTTACATTTTCCCATCCAGGTTTAACCCATAAGAGGTGGTTAGAGTAGCTAAATTGTAGTTAAGTAAGAGCAGCAATACAACCACATAAAAAAGAAGGCTATCTATGGTAACTTCTAATAAATGAACCCCACTAATACTGATGCCGAGTTTGCATTTTATGTAAGGTGTTACATCCAAACCATACAGATAATGCACTCTGAGAGAACTGTTAATACATCTTGGCAACAGAACATCCAGTCTTCTTCTATAGTTTTGAGATCTACATTCTGTGCTGGATAATACACATTACTACATTCTATAGTCATTGGGCGCCACCTATTCGTAACAATTATGTTGCACAGGGAAAAATATGATTTATGGTTTTCTTTCATTTAAGTGTTAGTTTTATGCTTTGCATGTTTGAAGGGGAAGATATGATCTGTTTTTCTTTGTATTTTCTTCTTGAGTTTTGCATGTTTTGATGTTTGTTTATATGATTGTGTTTTCCTTTATTTAGACTTTTGAAATTTTCCTGCATGTTGGGTTGTTTTGGTTTGTTTTTCCCTTGTGACAATCCATGCGCACTGGACTGAAGTAGTTGTCTGAGGAGGCGGAGTGCATTAATTGCTCTGCGTAATTGCTGCGCTCAGGTGTGAGCAGGGGCTGATTAAAGCCAACATAAAAGGAGTCTGAATGAAAGGAGGATGGAACGGAAGTTGTGTTCATACTAGGGATACATGATATATATTTTTGAGCCCTTTATAAAATAATGCGCTAAATGCAGGCATCTGTCTATAACTATAAATACCACAAATGTATTGCGTTTCTCTTGTGTTCTCAACAATAGTAAAGCTTTCAATAAATATATGTTTGAGCTCATTTTTGAAGAATACAAACCCTATTGAAAGCGTTCGGGTTGAGTAGCTCTCACGTCAAACAATGGACCTGTCCTGTTAAAGGTACATAAAGACTTACCTGCAACAAAGCTGGCCCAAGGTGATTGATCGTTAGTGAGGATTTGAGGCCTTATGCAAAAAGAAAGACTGAGTTGAGCTTACAAGATGGGTGCATCTTCTGGGGGCCTAGGGTATAACTGCACTATCTGGTAATGATCTTCTAAAATTTAACCTTCTTTTTCCTTTTCTGCTACACCATCTACATTCTTGATCACTGCTGCACTTTACAAATTGTAATGTTCATTTCACTGGTGACGTAGACAACTTTATTTTTATTTTGTATACACAGAGTGTACACAAAATGAAATTTCGTTTTTTACAGCTTTTAGACAGTGAAGGAGCAGCAGCTTAGCAGCGAAATTAACATTTTAATTCGTTAAAGTGCAGCAGTGATTGAACGTAAACAGTGGGGGAGAAAAAACATGTTGCAAAAATGTATTGATGTGGAAGTTCCGAGAAGTGCAAAAACAAATATGCAGTAGAAAATTATTTGAGTTGAGTTCATTTTGGTTTGATGTTATCAGTGTGATGCAGTCTCATTGTGTGTGACTTGGTTTAGAGTTTTTTCTCAAAGTTCAGCAGTTGTAAGCTGCTTATAAACTGCTGAAACGCTGTATGTTTTGAAATTTACACAGAGTGTATGTATGTTATAAAACGGGAAAGATGGACCCAGTATTCAAGGTGAGACAGTCAGTAGGTAAGTTCAAAACGTTTATTAAAAACAGAACAGAACAGAAACACGCTGCTGTCGATCTGCGGCTCACGGCTGCTGCAGGAATGGGGCAGGGCTTTGCCCAATCACTGACACTCTGGTTTAAGGAGAAACACAGGTAAGTGACCGTGATCAGCTGAACAGGAGATGATTATCAGAGTGAGTCACCTACCTAGTTTAACAGTTCAGTCCATCCTCTCAATATAGGCATGATCAGCCGATACACGGCCAACCAGTTGTTGCCCTGAGCCGTCCAGAACGTCCCTGATGCAGCAGCTCCAGTGAGCAGGCCAGGACAGTGATTAGGATCAGACTTGAATGGTTCTTGAATCCAGGTGTCCACAGTCCGGTTAGGGGTTCAGATCCACATAGGAACAGGCATATTAGGATTCCAGGAATCCATCACAGCGTGAAGGCAGGTTCAGAGCAGCAGCCTAAACTAACTATAGAGATAGCTCAGGATAAGCTAAGCCACTCTAACTATAAGCTTTATCAAAAAGGAAAGTTGCCTCACGGACTAAAACTGGTAGTTGGTTCCACAGGAGAGGAGCCTGATAACTAAAAGATCTGCCTCCCATTCTACTTTTAGAAATTCTAGGAACCACTAGTAAACCTGCAGATTGAGAGCGAAGTGCTCTGTTAGGAACATAAGGAACAATCGGATCTCTGATATCAGATGGAGCTTGGCCATTTAAGGCTTTATATGTGAGAAGGAGGATTTTGAATTTTAGAAGAAGAACTCGCCTGAGGAAACTGGCCTGAAAATAAACTCCTCACTGGAACATGAACCATGGAAATAAATCTAAAACTGACAGACAGGACATTAAGAGAAGGCAAACAGGGAACAAACATCAAACAATGATATGGCCATAATAGCTGGACTGGACTGAGTATAAAGCAGAACCTACAGGTGGATGAGATCAGAAATGATTAGGAACTAGGCAGAATAGGCAGGTGAATAGGCAGAATAGGCAGGTGAATAGGCAGAATAGGCAGGTGCACCACTGCACCACTTAGGAGCCCCACATATCTAACAGTCAGAGATAAAATGTTACAGGAAACTAAGTATTGCACAGCTATGGGTTACTAATAATGTGGCCGGATACCAGTATTGGACGGGCCCCCAATCCAGCAGTAAAATTGTTCTATCGCTATCAATACTAACAAATAGGCACCAATACCATGTTGAGAGCCAAATGTTCATTCAACTATTGTCACCCATTCCAGGTAGGCAATACAAAGTTCTACTGGATTCAATTTGTTTTAGTCTTTTTCCTGCTTCACAAAGGTAGGCAGCAGCTTGACAAAGCCATGATGGTAATTATTTTACATCCAAGTAGTATGCAGTTCTTTATATATACATGCACACATCAATTTAAAACTTTTGGTATTGGTATTGGCCAATAGTGCACAGCCAGGTATCGGGTATCGGTATTGAGACCAAAAAAAATGCCATTGGTGCAAGAGTAGCTGCTAATAAACAAAAAAATAAAATGATAAGGATAAGGTGAATATAATAATTTTACATTTTTTTCATGTGATATACAATTTTAAATCAAAAAAGAATTTAGAATTAGGTTAAATTATGATATGAGAATATATATATAAAAAACCAAACTGTTTTCCTAATTAGATTTTGTGACCATAATATGAATAAAACCAATACTTAGTACATAAGCTAGAAAAGGGTGAGATAATTCAAGTTATAATATGCTAACAATGTTTGCTTTAACTCTTAATGATAAGGTGCTAGGATTAATATTATACAATGAATTTGGTGTATAAAAAGTTTTACAAAAGTGATAATTTAGACAAAAATTTTAGAGACCTGTTGATGCATTTTTTTGTTTATAACAAGATTATTCTCCATTACAGAGTAGTTAATAATGTGGGAGCAAATGAGCAGAAATGTTACTCCACTGTTTGTTTCTTATTACTGTAACCCAGGTTGAGCTCTGTGCTGGGTCATCCTCTGCTGGCTTGGTTTCCGAAAATATAGAAGAGAGGGAATTAAATTAAACTCTAATTTGATGCAGGTCAATAGGCTTTCTATAGAGAAAAAACAGTTTTTAGTTGGATGACCATGACAATTGTCTACTTTAACACGAAACACTCGAGTTTTGATATAAACTTATATAACAAGGCCAATTGTCAGTCACATATTGTAAATAACTGCTATTTGGATTTTAATGTAGCGATAGGTTGCAGCCAGCGGAGCGAACCGCATCACACTGTAGCTTGACTGATCTTCGAACGCTTCCGCCGCGGTAGTTAGATCCTTTTCCTTCGCGGTTTTAAAGAAAATGCATCTCCTCTCAGAGGAAATTGTGATCTTGTGAAAACACCTACACCTGTATTATACAGTCGCTATCAGACCATAAATGTACGTACACAAACGTAGGGAGATAGAGAAAAGGGGACAGCGAAACGGTGGAAGGTGGTGTGGTTAGTAAAGGCCCAGCAGCCCCATTCATCCTGCTGCAGCTGACGTTTCATATTGGGGCACATAGCATTTAGATCAAATTTAATCTCAGAAATGCCTGGGATGATGGATAAAAGCTCAGATTATTTGGGGAAGGGACGGTCAAATGGGACTAAAAGTCCGTCCAGTGCCTCTAACGGACATTTTTCTGACGAGAGCGGCAGCGACGACGAACACGGTGAGTGATAGCCTCGAACACTGTCCGCTCTTTGGTAACTGAACTCTCAGAATTAGTCGGTATGTCGGTTACAGTGTGGATTTTATTTTATTCTGTTTTGCAGATATTGGAATGCGGGTTGGAACTGATTATCAAGCTAACATTCCAGAATTTGAGCCCGGTGAGATTTGAACTGCTTTGGCCGAGTGATACCGAGTGATAGCCTCGGCCCATGTCCAGGGAACGCATTAATGAAAGCCTACTGCACATTTCACCCAGTGCTCTAATACAACTGACTGATCACAATAAAGTCGAACGCAATGACTGAGGCTACCGTTGCCTCTCTGCTCAAATCTATGCTTATGATGGTTATAACTACACAAATATGTTTGTAGTAACTTTGTTATAGACAAAGTCATTATCATCGATAAAACCACATTTGATACTAATGATGTCCTATTGTTGAGAGAAAATCCTCTCTCTTTAAAACTATAAAACTGAAATCTGTGTAGTGATGGATTGGTGATATATTTCTGCATTAAATCTTTAAATATAAATGTAAATTTAGGTATATTTATTTTCTTCTCGTAGTTTTTTAATTGTAACCAAAATAGCTTTACGTTATCGCTGACGTTTTATCTGATTTGTAACAACATATAATATTCTTAAAGTTAGATTTTTTTTCCCTGGGAAGAAAGGGTATTCCCTCACTTTAAGATGAGAAATAAAAGAAAGATGGGCCTTGCTGTTATGAATGCCTGAGCTGTATAGATGTAGATTTCAGTGTTTCTGTTTCCCCAAATGGTGTTAAATGAATATGTAACTGAAGTATAAAATCTGTTTCTGAGCCATGAATGATCACAAGTACTTAATGGAGCAGCTGCCATGAAAGTTTTTTAATTGTTCTTTTGTGTTTTTTCCACATTCAGATTCTGTCAAGTACACGGAAAAAGACAGTGGGGGAATGTTGGTATGGTCTCCATATCACTTCATTATTGATTCTAAATGTAAGTGATGCAACCGATGATGCTCCTGAGGCACGAAACTAGGCGAGACTAACAGTATGCCTTTACATTCACAGTGGACGAATATATTTCTATTGCCAAGGAGAAACATGGCTACAATGTGGAGCAGGTGTGTTTTTTTCTTTCTTCTTTCATCTGATAAAGTGTTTTCTATTCAATTCAATTGAATTCAGTTTATTTATATAGCGTCAAATTCACAACACATGTCATCTTAAGGCACTTTACAGTTCAACCAGATCATACAGTCAAATTGATACAAAGTTTTCTATCTAAGGAAAACCAGTTGATTGCATTGACTCATTGACTCAAATACAATCCCTCACACTAAGCATGCTTGTAGCGACAGTGGAGAGGAAAAACTCACTTTTTAACAGGAAGAAACCTCCAGCAGAACCAGGCTCAGTGTGAGCGGCCATCTGCTGAGGCCGACTGGGGTTCAAGGAGACAGAAGCAGAGACAAAAAAAGCAGCTGTAAAAGGCGGCCCCGTCCAGGAAACACACAGCCAGGCAGACGAGCTCCGAGCCAGCTCCCATGTCAGAGGACGAAGAGAGCACATCCAGCCAGTCACGGTCAGAGAAACAGGACCACACTGGAAAACAGCCCGATCTTCTCTGCAATGGAAGTTGAAAGACATGGTTTGAGGGGTTTGCTTTTTTACTTATAGCAAATCTGAAGAACTGCCTAAACTTTACGTAGTCGAGGATTGAGTCTAAATATTCCGGGCTGACAAGTAAATTTATTCTAAAACAGTTTCTTTTTGAATATTTTATATAGCAAACAGTCTCTGTAAATCCTATCCAATCCAAGTCTGCTTTGGTAGATCCATTATGTAAGCTGGATAAATACAACAAGCCATTTTGTACTTTTTTATTTTTTTACAGCAAAATACAAACTCTGGTTCTTTTTGTTGAGCAGGTACATTTTAAACATTTGAAATTAGATATTGTTCATCTTTTGTTTAATGAGGCAAAGAATCAAAGATGGAGCAGAAGCTGAGCACAGAGAGACGGAGGTCTACTTGGTGGCATGGTGTGGAAACAATCCTCTGATCCTGGATGTCAACAGAACAAGGAGATGATTGGAGGTTTAAGAATAATCAGGAACAAGTTGAATCCTGTTAAAATCCTGGGAGAAGAAGTGGAGGAGGAATAGAAATACTCTGGTGTTCACCTGGACAACAAACTAGACTAGAGACACAACTGTGAAGCCATCTACAAGAAGAGACAGAGCAGATTGTACTTTTTAACGGGGGTAAATGGCTCTGCCAAAAATCAATAAGGAAATTATTTTTATTAAGCAATATTGTAACTGGGATTGTGGTTGGATTTTCCTTTGCACCAAAAACACTAATAACAAAGATGTAACCAGATCTCAGAACAAAATGATCCAGTAATTCGAGGCAGACAAAGTAGTTAGATTTCTCAGAATGTTTGATTAACAACATAATCGGCAGGAACCTCTGCAGGTGGAGACAGCAGGTTTGTGACCATGTCTTTCTGGAAGTGGATGATCACAAACGAGGGAGTCACCTGGTCTTATAGTTCAGTCTGAGTCCAGAGGAAGAGGATTGTTGTTGTCTGATGGCGGTTGGGAAGAAGTTGCAGAATCTGCTTGTCCTGCATTGAATGCTGCGAAGCCTCTTCCCAGAGGGCAGCAGGGAGAACAGTCCATGGTGGGGGGGTGAGGGGTCAATGATGATGTCACGGGCTCTGGACATGCAGTGCTGGGATGAAATATCTTTAATAGAGGGAAGAAGAGCCCCCATGATCCTCTCTGCTGTTCTCACCTTCTTCCA